TCCGCTGCTGATAGCACATGAACTTATCCTCCCTCTTCCCTCCTTGTTCAGCGGTATGTGTCAGTGTACTCAATGTCTGGCTGTCTTATGCTCAGCCTCCAGGGTGCAAGACCGTTTATGCAATGTTGGTTCTGTGACTTCCTCCATATCCATCTTACTGCATTATGCAAAAGGCACACGGGCAACTGTTTCATCTGTATTGAATTTAAAGAAAAAAAAAATGCATAAATATCTAATTGTAGTGTTTGCATGAATACATTCCTTATACATAGTGATCTGTATTGCTGTGCTGCTCTAAATAAACAAGTCTATTATTTCTATAAAACATGTACTAAATGCCACCAAATATACTGACAAACCATATAAAATGAAAATATAATCCAGTGATCTCACATAGTATCTCAAAAAACAGAAATTATCACATAATCCTTAAATTTACACTTAATGTGCCAAAATAGTCTCTTAAATAGTGATTTCTGGTAATTATCCTATTCAGGGGTGGACTGACCATTTGGAAACTCAGGCACTGCCCGATGGCCCGAGGTTAGTAGGGGGCCCCATGAGATGCCCCTGGTACCTTTTTCATAGGCTTTTTTGAGTTTGGGCGAGGACACAGGGGCCCCATGATCCCCTATTGCCCGGGGGCCCCATGAGTTGTCAGTCCGCCCCTGATCCTATTGATTCCTCAAATGCTCCACCACAAACTGCAGTTCTAATTGTGCTCCTACCTAATGAAAAAGAGCGCTATGGATGGAGACCAGAAATGGAGATCACAAACTGGTGTTAGTTCCACTGGGATGTCTGATTATGGACCCAAATTGTCATCAGGCACATTAGAACCATTTCACCTAGGTTCACATCTGTGCGGGTGGTGCCGCTGCGGATCCGCACGAAAATTCATGCAGCCGCACCACCCACACAGAGAATTGCAGACCCGCGGACAGGTGCCATTAGTTCTAATAGCTCGCCGCCTGCACTGGAAAACGCAACCGTACTGGGAACCGAGGTTCCCATGTGGGCTTTGTTTTCCAAAGAAGTGCAGGGACTTCTTTCCCTGCATGTCACGGGCACAGGAGTCCATTCAAATGAATGGGCTCTCGTGCCCGTGCAAAACACGGCCCGTACGGCCGCATAGATGTGAACCTGGGGTTAGTAAAGACTAAACTTTAACCACTTCAAGTCCGGATACTTTCACCCCCTTCCTATCCAGGCCAATTTTCAGCTTTCAGTGCTATCACACTTTGAATGACAATTGTGCGGTCATATGAACCCATATGAATTTTTTAGCATTTTTTTGAGACAGATAAAACTTTATTTTGGTGGTATTTATTCACCACTGGGATTTTTTATTTTTTTTGCTATATAAATGAAAAAGTCCAAACATTTTGAAAAAAAGTGTTTTTTATTATAAAATTTTATACAGTAATAATCTTTCTTCATAAATCTTGGCCAAACTTTATTCAGTTAACTTTTTAGTAAAAAAAAAAAAACCCAAATTAGTTTATAATCAAAAATTATAATTTTTCTAATATTTCTTTACATTTTTGTTTGATTTTTTTAATATTATTATTTATGGGTTTTTTAACATACTGTCACCCTAGCAGTACAGTGTCACCATGGTGACACTGTACTACTTGTGTGGGGTGATGAAGATTTTTTTTTTTTTTACACTGATTGCTTTTACACCCATAAAGGCTGTAAAAAACAATACTTTCTCTTTTTCTCTGGCTGCATTCCTGCAGCCATTGACAAATACTGTGAGAGCTGTGATTGGTCACAGCTTGTCACATGGTACAAGGCTGTTGTGATGGCCCTGTATCATGTGACCTCTGTGATCATTCATAGATTTCACACGTAGTAAGCAATGATGTCAGGAAGTGACATCTTGCTTACTACTATTCATGTGATCACTGATTGGCCAATCAGTGATCACATGAATCAGGACCTCACACAGAGGTCCTGTACATCGATCGGTGTCCGGAGGGCACAGCGGGCACCGGATCGCGATGCCTCACGCTATCAGGGAACGTGCACAGGATGTGAAAGCGGGCGCCGTTTATAAACTGCAACTTGCTCCTGGTTAATGATGCTTAGCAAAAATATAAATATAATTGTCCTGGCAAATAAAAGGCTGTTTGTATATTACATGGCACACTAACATAATGCAGTGGAATGATGACTGGGGAGGCAAACGGGAATGATGTAGACCAGGGGTCTCCAAACTTTCTAAACAAAGGGTCAGTTTACTGTACTTCCGACGTTAGTAAATCTCACAGCATCAGTAGGAGTAAATAATAAAACAGTTAGTAGTAGTAGTTAGTTAGTAGGTAGTTAGTGGAAGGTGGGAAATATAAGGAATAGTGCCCCATCATTGGTATCAGTTGGAGGAATAATGCCCCATCATTGGTATCAGTTGGAGGAATAATGCCCCATCATTGGTATCAGTTGGAGGAATAGTGCCCCATCATTGGTATCAGTGGGAGGAATAGTGCCCCATCATTGGTATTAGTGGGAGGAATAGTGCCCCATCATTGGTATCAGTGGGAGGAATAGTGCCCCATCATTGGTATCAGTGGGAGGAATATCCCCATCATTGGTATCAGTGGGAGGAATAGTGCCCCGTCATTGGTATTAGTGGCAGGAATAGTGCCCCATCATTGGTATTAGTGGTAGGAATAGTGCCCCATCATTGGTATTAGTGGGAAGAATAGTGCCCCATCATTGGTATTAGTGGAAGGAATAGTGCCCCATCATTGGTGTTGGTAAGGAATAGTGCCCCATAATTGGTGTCAGGGGGAGGAACAGTGCCCCATCATTGATATTAGTGAGAGGAATAGTGCTGCACCATTGGTATCAGTGGGAGAAATAGTGCCCCATCATTGGTGTCAGTGGGAGAGAAGAGCTACAGATGGGTACAATGCTGGATTGATACGGGACTCAGGTAAGTATTTGGGGGGGGGGGAAGTAGTGCCCCATCATTGTTGTTAATGGGAAGAACAGTGCCCCACAGTTAATGTTAGTAGGAAGAATAATGCCCCATCGCTGGTGTCATTGGAGAGATTGGTGCATCATTGTTGGTGTCAGTGGAAGGAATAGTGCCTCACATCAGTGGGAGGAACAGTGCCCGCAAGAACCAGATAAAGGCAAGCAAAGAGCCGCATCCGGTCCGCGGGCCACAGCTTGTGGACCATTATCTCAATGCATTAAATGCATTAAGTTCTAAAAACATTTTTTACTTTATAACCACTAGTCATGCTCTTCATCATTGGTGTCAGTAGGAATAGTGTCTCATCATTAGTGTCAGGGGGAGGAATAGTACCCCATCATTGGTATCAGAGGAAGGAATAGTGCCCCATCCTTGGTATTAGTTGGAGGAATAATGCCCCACCCTTGGTATTAGTTAGAGGAATAGTACCTAATTGTTTATATAAGTGGGAGGAATTGTGCCCCATCATTGGTGTCAGTGGAAAGAAAAATGCCCCATAGTTGGTGCCAGTGGAAGAAATGCTGCTTCCTTGTTGGTGTCAGTTGGAAGAATAGTACCCCGAGGGCTGGATTGAGGCAGGCAAAGGGCCACATTTGGCCCACCCACAGTTTGGAGACCACTGTGTAGATCAATCCATAATAGGCTTGGTCTCCTCCAAAGGTGGGCTAATAAGTCTAGATGTCCCATGTAAAACCAGTCTCCAGGGCTGACTGCAGTGAGAAGTGTAAGCCGCACACTGGAAGTGACCTCAGATGGAACGCAAATGGACCAGGAGAATTGCTTTAGACCCTCAGTAAGGTGAACACACCGGAAGTGACCTCAGTTGAACCATAACGGAACCAGGACAGGCGCCTGAAGCGTCAGTGTAAACCTGTCCCTCCACAGGGTTTTTAAGTCCCCACTCCAGGGGTCCAGAAAGAGTCACAATAGCTCAGCAGCATCTCAGTAGACTGAACAGTCAGAGTTATTTCTCATAAGTGTGTTGTCCTGCTCCATGCAACACCCTGAATGTGCTCTGCCCCCTCTGGGGTTAAGGAATTTCCAGTATTCCTCCTTCTACAGATTCTACAATATTTTGGTGTGTGTCCCTTTAAGGGGAAGTAAAGACCTCTTGTTCCAAATGCTCCAGAGAAGATAAGGACTTCTCATCAGTAACAAGGTGAAGCTAAATCAGAGAGGGACCTTGCTGTACAGTCCATACAGTATATGCGTCAGCGAGGTTGGTGGGCCTTTCAGGCTAGGTTCACACCTCTGCAGCCATGTGGGCCACGATTTGCACGGGCACAAGAACCCATTCATTTGAATGGGCTATCGTGCTCTGGGACACACAGAAAAGAAGTCCCTGCATGATTTTTTAAATCGCGGCCCGCACAAGAACTGAGGTTCCCAGTATGGTTGCAATTTCCAGTGTGGGCAGCGTGCCATTAGGATTAATGGCACCCGCCCACGAGTCCTGCATTTCTCTGTGTGGGTGGTTATGGTGAGTGGTATTTGTTGCGGTCCCGCAGCGGCACCAACCGCACAGATGTGGACCAAGCTTAAAGGGTTGTCCATGTAATATATTTTTTTTTTTTTAAATAAAATTTTTTATATAACAAACAGGTTTAGGCTCCATGCACACTAACATTTTTTAAGCTCCCAGAAGCTGTTATTAGCATTTTTCTTTCTGCTCCTAGAAGCTAAAAAGTGTTCTCCTATGTGTCCATGCACAATACTTTAGGCTATTAGCATTTTTTGAGCTTCAGCATCTAGGAGCAGAAAAAAAATGTTTTTGCAGATTTTTTGGGAGCGTTATTCCATCAGAAAAAACACTAAGTGCTCCTTAACACTACTAAAACGCTCCTAACAGCTTTTTGCTGGCTTTTGTAAAAACGCTTTAAAATGCTATCACTCCTAAACTAAAATGCTACTAAAAAACGCTATTATCAGTGTTTTTTATCCAGCTTTTTTTGAGCCTAAAGTGTTACTAAACCCATGACCCTGCATTCACTATATCTCCCCGGACCCTGTATTCACTATATCTGGTCTCCCAGGACCCTTCATTCACTATATCCGGTCTCCCCGGACCCTGCATTCACTATAACTGGTCTCCCAGGACCCTGCATTCACTATATCTGGTCTCCCCCGGACCCTGCATTCACTATATCTGGTCTCCCCGGACCCTGCATTCACTATAACTGGTCTCACTGGACCATGCATCCACTATATCTGGTCTCCCAGGACCCCGCATTCACTATATCTGGTCTCCCCCGGACCCTGCATTCACTATATCTGGTCTCCCAGGACCCTGCATTCACTATAACTGGTCTCACTGGACCATGCATCCCTATATCTGGTCTCCCAGGACCCCGCATTCATTATATCTGGTCTCCCAGGACCCAGCATTCACTATATCTCTGGTCTCCCCGGACCCTGCATTCACTATATCTGGTCACCCCGGACTCTGCATTCACTATATCTGGTCTCCCAGGACCCTGCATTCACTATATCTGGTCTCCCTGGACCCTGCATTCACTATATCTGGTCTCCCCGGACCCTGCATTCACTGTATCTGGTCTCCCAGACCCTGCATTCACTATATCTGGTCTCCCAGGACCCTGCATTCACTATATCTGGTCTCCCACAGTACACAGAACATGGAAGTATAATTATTTTAGTAAATATAAACTGCTAAATACCTTTTCTCAGCAGTTAGAGCAGTCTTATGACTTCTATCAGTGTTCAGCAGAGCACATGTTAAAAAAATTTTTGTTTTCATTCTGCTCTAGGATGATGCAGGATCCCTGACCTCAGTCTGAACAGTGCTGATTGGTCCTGTGCTGATCACATGCACCTTCCCGAGAAGAAAAAAACAAACCTCTCTAGCAGTACACACCAAACTGAGCATGTGCAGAGTGACTCCACACAATATGTCTTATCAGGAGATAAGAGGAGGGCACTGGAAGAAGGGGAGAGATCAGAGAAGTCGGAGTCAAACAGCATTTTTACACAATGCAGAAGAATTAAACCCTTAGGTTCCACTATTGTTGCTAGGGTGGATCTAATGTTGCTGGGAGGGTATATATTGTTGTGGGGGGAGGGGGTTTGTTGTTGCTGGGAGTGATCTATTGTTGAGAGAGGGGTTTATTGTGGCTGCCTGCTTGGAGATCTATTGTTGCTGGTGGGGGTGTCTATTGCTGCTCCAGGGATTTATTGTTGCTGTTCCCAGATTGTAAGCTCGAAAGAGTAGGGCCCTCTTACCCCTCGTGTGCTGTTCGTAGCTGCTGTAATGTTTCATGTATTGTCCCCCCCCTCTATTGTACAGCGCTGAGCAAACCCTTTGGCGCTATATAAACTCAATCAATGTCATGTAATGTGGGGGGGTCTGTTGTTGGTGGCTGCAGGGGATCTATTTTTACCGCTTTTCTTGCTATCATTAACACATTCTATACAATTACTTAGCACCACAAAATGATACTTGGTTCTGTATTCTCTACAAGGGACGGTACTGGAAGGTGGATAGGGGGTGGAACCAGGGGACAGTGCTTGGAGGTGGGTAGGGGGCAGGGGCGGACTGACAACTCATGGGGCCCCCGGGCAATAAGGGATCATGGGGTCCCTGTGTCCTTGCCCAAACTCAAAAAAGCCTATGAAAAAGTTACCAGGGGCATCTCATGGGGCCCCCTACTGACCCCGGGCCCTCGGGCAGTGCCTGAGTTTCCAAATGGTCAGTCCGCCCCTGGTAGGGGGAGGAGACAAGAGTTGACTCGGAAAGGGGGGAGTATCTGCACCTATTCTCTGAGAAAAAACTCCCTGGCTACATATAGTTAAAAATCTACAACATCCACTCTTTTGCTTAATCTTTCTTATCCAAGACTGCCGTCTGTTTAATGCAGGACTGAAGAAAGTGACACATAATTCAAGAGGCAATCAGCCAACCTCAGACTCGAGTTGCCAGCGTAGATGTGACTGAAGGAAGCCAGCAGATGTAGGTGCATCGCCTACCTGACTCCTGGGGTGCCTTTGTTCCTATAGCGCAGCACTTCATGAAGTGTGGGATCGGTAGCAGTGCTTCTACTCTGCGGTGTGGGTGGTCTAGGAGCACGATTTATGTGCACAACCACGTTAAAACTAATGATAATTGAATTTGGAGAATCAGCAATTCCCACATCTTTAAATCACAAAAAAAGAATTTAAAAAAAAATATTTTAAACGTACAAAAAAATGTGGCTTGATGTAAAGTGATCAATTTGTGTTCAAGCATTATAAACAACATTTATACTATTCTACTAATATACTATCATTTCTTGATCAATATATCCTCAGGTTCTGCCCCCTGCTTTGCAGCGTTAAACATGACGTTTGTGCTTCACAGTGCAAGTCAATAAGATTGATCTGCTAAAGGCAAATAGGCAGTTCATTGTGCAAGGAAAGTTGCACTTTGCAAGGGAATTTTCCCAGAGTTTAGTGACGTTTCACATTGCAAGGAATACCCAATCACATGAAAGAAAAATTTTAAAAAACAACAATTTGCTTGCACCTGATTGACTGATGGAAGTCAGCAGAGCTTCCCCTCAATTACTAATGTCTGGGGAAATTCTGTTTCAAAGTGCAGCTTCCCTTGAAAAGTGAACAGCCTGTTTGCCTTTAGTAAATCTAGATCTAAAGCTTGTGAAGTACCATTATGTAACACTGCAAAGCAGGATGCAGAGCCTGAGTATGTATTGAAAAATACATTTCTTCCCCATTGTACATATTACAAACCAGGGCTGTCTTAATGCATTGGCACAGCTGCATGGGGGCCCCATGATAATCTTGCATTACATCATACTTTCCAACTGTCCCGGATTTGCTGGGACAGTCACGCTTTTTACTAAGCTGTCCCTGGATGGCCGTATCCTGGGTAGCATCCTGAAACCTGTACTGTGCTCTCCTGATCCCATTATTATGCCCTCCTGATCCCCCCGTACTGTGTCCTTCTACCTCCCCCCCTGTAGTGTGCCCTTCTGCCTCTCCCCCGTACTATACCCTTCTGCCTCCCATCCCTGTACTGTGCTCTCCTGATCCCCATTATTATGCCCTCCTGATCCCCCCATACTGTGTCCTTCTGCCTCCCCCCCTGTAGTGTGCCCTTCTGCCTCTCCCCCGTACTGTACCCTTCTGCCTCCCATTCCTGTACTGTGCTCTCCTGATCCCCATTATTATGCCCTCCTGATCCCCCCATACTGTGTCCTTCTGCCTCCCCCCTGTAGTGTGCCCATCTGCATCCCCCCGTACTGTACCCTTCTGCCTCCCATCCCTGTACTGTGCTCTCCTGATCCCCATTATTATGCCCTCCTGTTCCCCACATACTGTGTCCTTCTGCCTCCCCCCTGTAGTGTGCCCATCTGCATCCCCCCGTACTGTACCCTTCTGCCTCCCCTCTCTGTACTGTACCCTTTGTGTTGACTAATCTTTGATGGCACATTTTTCTATTGGTTAAAATTGATTTTATTGAAAGTACTTATAAATATATATCTAATTCTATCAACTATTTATACTTTAGTTCTTGAGGTTAGATGTGTAAATTGGGGCAAGCTCGTTGGGGTCCCAGTGCATTACTTTGCCCAGGGGCCCATGATACTATTAAGATGGTCCTGTTACAAACTATGCAATGTTGTTTCCAAAGCACTAACAGATATTGATCACTTTATATAAAGCTGATTTCTTTAACACATACATATAAAATATTATTGAAAAGTATTTTTTGTAAATCAAAGAGAATAGTAAATCAACCCCTATAGTTCTAACCCACTGAAAACAATGCACTCCCTGTGTGGCTGACAACTTAACATAAAAATGTACATTTATTATTTTTTTCACAGGAGTCTGCAGAGCATTGCACCCGTGATCAGTGGATTGTGGGTGTAATGTCATGCTCCTGAAGTGTCAATCCACAATGAGTGTAATGATCACCACCCTGGTTTTCCATTGAGAACTCCAACTCCATGTGCTGCAGTAGAAGATGGGACTTGTAGTTCATTCATTCACAGATCTCTGTGAATGAATGACGTGGCTGTGCGGACCGAACCCCACACAGCTGCATCAATTACAAAAGTGACAGCTACAATGGGGGAGAAGAACCTGCCCTCTGATCTTGAAAAGAAATGCTAAACAATACTCAATACAACAAATTGCATCTTTATATCTGTGCTATTATTGCCTGTGAGCTCCACACTTTCCTGAAGCCTGATTTATGGGCGTTCCTTTTGAAAAATTTAAGCCAAGCTCAATTGCTGCCGTCCCCTGCTTCGTAAGCAATCATCACTTCTCCAGCCTACCTTTTTGTCTATGCTGTGTATGAGCAGTGTGGTCGAACAGCAGTGGGGAGAGGGTCACCCTGGCATCCACAGCAGCAATGGGAAAGGGACAAAGTGCTACGTGCTGGGGGATTGGATTCACAGAATATACTGTGCGGGTGGTGAGCCTTCTTGTTTAACACTTTCGCTGCCAGAGCTGTTTTTGCATTTTTTTTTTGCATGCATGTTTAAAAAATTATTTTAGGCCTGAAGATTACACAAAACTACCAAACATTTACCAAAGCAGGCACCCTAGAGAATAAAATAGTGGTAGTTCCATTTTTTTTATATCACGCGATATTATCGCAGAGGTCTAGGAAACGCAACATTGAAGTAAAAAAAACCCCAAAGTGAATTTTAGGGCAACCAAAAACAATAAATCACCCAACTTTTTGGTAAAATATAAAAGCTGAGGTTGCGCCAAGTAAATAGATACCCAACATGTCAAACCTTAAATTTGTGTGCGCCCGTCACATGGCAACATACTTCAGTACCCAATATTTTCTATAGGCAATGCTTCAAAAGCCCCCTATAGGTCATCGGGTCCTATGCTAGAATTATTGCTCTCACTCCAGCTTGTACAACGATATGTAACGTGTATTTCAATTGACGGTTTCACACGTAGGCTCCCCGTTACAACATGGTTACGTTTGTACATGCGTGTATGTGGAGGTGGGGGGGCTCAACATTTTTTTGGGGGGGGGGGGGGGATTTTATGTGCTTGGGTGTAACAATTTTTTTTTTCTTTGCTTAACTTTTTTTTTTGTCACATAGGGAACAAAAAGTCCCCTATGTGGTGATTTTCTGGTGACAGGTTCTTTCTACCTTGTATGTCTCCTCTGGGCTCCACTCAATGTATTGCAATGTAGATCACATTGCAATACATTGCTTCTTGGCTGTTCTAGCCATGGAAAGTAACAGGTGACCCGGAATTGACATCATACACTTCGCTTTATGGGCCACAGGAAGAAGGGGAGGACAGTGGACATGTGTTGCTGTCCTCTCTCCACTCTCGCCAGTACCTGCAATGTCATCCCCGGTACTGCAGTTGGGCAAATGGAACATGGAATACATGGCAGGGGGGCACGCAAGCGGGGGGAGGAACTGGTAGCCACCCGGCTGTTTCCATCTGACAGGCAGTAGCTGTAGCCACCGGATTGTATGTAGACCCCCCCTCGCTGTCAGATCCATACAATGGACATGGCAGGGAAAGGGTTAAAGAGGAACGCTACCCATAACATTCA